AAGAAGCTTTAAGAAATATGCCGTTTATCCGACTCGAGCTTTAAGCTATCGATAGCACGAGATTATAATAAATCTTTGTAAGCAGTTAAGCAAAAAAGCGTCTTTTTAACGGTATAGATTAAAGAACACCGAGCTATTTATAAGTTAGCGAAGATAAATAACCTTTACGAAACGACGAGTATACTCGCGATAAAAGCATTTTTAAAAGCTATTAGCGAAAAATAGTTATTAATTTAAGCGTCGTTAAAGCTCGTAAAGGTTATTCGAAACGACGAGCTATTATTGCTTTAAAAGCGCACTCTTTACGATTATTTTAACTAATACGAAAGCTAAGTCGAAAAGAAGACGAATAATCCGAACTCTAACTTTTTTAATGTATTCGCTACTTTCGGAGATCAAACGACTCGTAGCACTTTCGGAGGTGATAAGGTTAACGACATTGCTTTTAAGCAGTCCGGTAAACGCTCTGATAGTTTTAAAGGACTTGCTAAAGGTTTTAAGTGCTCGTGCTTTAAAAAGAGAAACTACTATTAAGACGCAATCAAGTATAAGATCTTTCGCTATTGCTTTAATAGTCTTGACGAAAGTAGATTCGCAAAGCCGAATCGAAATGATATCGTCGTTATAAAGAAAAGGTTTTAAAAGCTTAAGTTTAAAGCGCTCCGAAAAGAGATTACGAAAAAAGGTTAAGCACAAATTCAAGTCGATAAGATCGTTTTAAAAAGCAAAGAGAAGCAATCGAACGATAGCGATAAATCAAAATACTTTAGAAAAGTGTTAACAGCTATTATCGATCTTAAGCTTTTTAATACGCTCGATAATCTTGTTCTTAACGGTTTTTATAGCACGGCTAACAATAAGCACTAGCTATCTAATAGCACTTTTTTCGACAATTGCGGCGTTACTCACTTTATTAACGATAAGAATTTATTAATGCTAAAGTTAATTTAGCGCTTTCGCTCAACCGACTTTATCGAAGCTAAAACGAGTAGTCTTTTAGTCGTCGGGCGAAGTATTAAAGTCTTTAAAAGAGCTTTGAACGGACTAAATAGAATTAAGACAAAAGATTTAAAGTTAAAAAACGTCGCTATCGTTAAGAAGTTTAATATTAATATCATCTTAAAAGCTCTTTTAAGCAAAGCTAGCGTATAGTACTCGAGATATAACGCAACTTTTCGCTACGAAGAGGTTAAGGAAAGCGTCGTATTAAAAAAGTTAAAAAAGAAGTTTAACTTTACGTTCTTTAAATACAAGCTATTCAACTATTCTTTGCTTTAATTGATTCGTAGCTCTTTTTACTTAATAATATTCTTTACAGCTTAAAAGCGCTTGCAAATACGTTATAAATTCTAAAAAAGCAATGTCTTTCGAGCTTTAAAAGAAGATTTATCGATACTTTAGCATTTACGGACAAGTCATTTAAGCAAAAAAAACTTCGAAGCGCTAGCTTACAACGCTAGAAAGGTGAGACTTAAAAGAATTACTAAAGTTAAATGTAAAGCATGTGTTATTACGCACGCTTAATAAGTTATATCTCGCCGTACGTTAAACAACAAAGCAACTAAGCTATTCTATAAAATCGCTTAAGATTTATTCGACTTTTTTAACGGTTTCGAAAAAAGCAAATAGTTGTTAATAATTAAAAATAAATATAATAAGAAGCTATTCGGCTTTATATTAAAAGACAAGTTACAATTGACGGTTATAAAAGTACTAAAAGAATTTAAAGCATAAACGAAACGCAAATACGGTCTTTTAATAGCTGTTATACGTTATAATAACGATTCTTCGGTAATCGCAATCAACGTAATCGGCTTTATTAAATATTAAAGATAAGCGAAAGAGGTTAAGATCGAGTTAAAGCTCTTACTATCTTTTAATTACGAATTTAATAAAAGAGCTGAAAGGGCTAAAAGAAAAGTGATAGAACGGTCTATTAAAATAAAAGTAAAAGCAAGGCTTTTAAAGAAGCTCTAGCTTAAAACTATACTAGCCGCTATCTACTTTTATAACATAACATCGAAAGCGAAAAGCTTTATGAAGAGTCCGAATGAAGTGCTATAGCTTTAATTTAAGTAATATTTTAAATAGTACGATCCGGCGATCTTTATACGGATCGATATCGATTTAAAACTAGATTGTAACGGTTTAGTTGCGTATAGCGCTCGTGCGTATTTAATAATTAAAGACCGAGAAGCTTTTCGCAATAAAAAAGCTTTTAAAGTTAAACCGAAAGGATATATAAGCTACTTAGTTAAATATATAGCTTTTAACATATACAAAGTCTATGTTCTTATGCTTTATAAAGTGATTATTATACGCAACGTAACGTTTGATAAGACTTAATTTTATCTTAAAGACGAAGAAAAATTAGTCGGTTAATCGATTAGCGAAATCAAGAGCATCGTTATTAAACTAAAAGATATTAAAGACTCTAATCAAATAAAAGACGCTTTATTTAATATAAAGAACGTTGTAAAGGATCGCTTAAAAAAGACGAATGCAGCTGATATAAAAAGTAAGCAGCCGTTAGACTTTATAAAGGTTGACTTAAAAGAATTTAATTAAAGCTTAAAAGATGCGACTTTATTTAATCCGAGCGATGCACAAACGTTAAGAGCTTTAACTTTAATTAAAGACCTTATAGATACGTCTATACTAAAAGCAATTGCTTTACGAGACGATTTAATAAACTTTAACGATTCGAACTACACCGCTAACCGTTTCGCTAGCTCTTTAACTAAAAGCAAAGGCGAAGGTGCTTTAAAACTGCTAGAAGCAAAGAAGAGCATCGTAAACGAGCAAAAACCTAGCCTTAATAAAAGAGCGCGCAAATCATACCTTTAAGTTGTTATTTAAAGCCGGAGCCCGGAGGACTAAGCTATAAGCCGACTAACGAAAGCTTTTACGTCAATAGCCGACGGAGATTTAAATCGAACAATTAAAAAAGAGCTTTTAGACCTTTTTAAAGCGAGCACTAATAATAAAAAATTAAATTATAAACACTTTAAATAAAATTCCGACTTTAATAAAAAGCACTTATTTATTAATAGCCGCATTAAAAAACGCGCGAAGATATACGCAAGTGTTAATAAGCTTCTCTTAAATAACTCTCTCGCCGATTCGAACCGCTATTTACGCGTTTTAAATTTTGTATCGACTTTTTAAGCTAATAGCGATCTCGTACGCAAAGATAGTAAAGATTACGAGATATTACACGCTGTTATAATAGCTGCTACTTCGTTTAAGCTATTATTAAAATAGCTTAACTCGCAAGAACGAAAACATTTAAAACTTTTTACTTATTAAAAAAAGCTATAACGATACTTATACGGCAAGGAATTCAAAGACGAAGCTCTTATAAAGCTAAATAATCTGAAAAAGAGGAACTGTTAAAGAGTGATTCTCGAGAGCGAAGCTAAGTTAAAACTTATACCTTTTAAATAAGTATTTATATATAAGACTAGCTCGTTCGAAGAAATCGTAAGGTTTAAATCGAGGATTATGATTAAAAGCGACTTTTAAAACGAATTTACTATCTATTCAACTTACGCTGCTACGCTAGCAGTTAAATCGTTTAAAATAATAATAACTATAGCAGCCGAATTTGATTTAAAAGTAAAACAATTCGACGTCGTTAATGCTTTTATCAACGCTATAAGACACACGGATAGCGTCTTAATTACGTATTATCTTTCTAACGGTTTTAAGCAAAAAAGTATGCTCGTAAAAGTCGATAAAGCTTTATATAAACTTAAAGACTCGCTAGCTTTATAGTATTTCGACTTTACAAGCACACTCGACAAATTAGAACTTACTTTATTCGATAAAGAATCGTGTATTTTTACGAATCTAAACAAGACGGTCTTTATAGCGTTTTACGTAAACGATATTCAAGTCATATATTATCATTTTAATCTTTTTAAAGCGCAAAAGATTATTAACGGTCTTAATAAAGCGTACGAGATCGAAGCGATAAAAGATATTAAATAGTTTCTTAATATAAAAGTCGCTCGAGACCGTTAGCGAGGAACGCTAACGCTTATGCACGACGCTTATATTGAAAAAATAGCTAAGAAATTCGAACTCACGGACGGACGCTGCTTAGCAACTTTATTACCGTTTTATAACTTAATTAAAAATAAAAGAATAGCTTCGCGAAAGCAAGTAAAAGAGTATTAAGAGAAAGTTAGATCCGTGTTATATACAGCGATTATGCTACGCTTAGATATAGCTTTTACAGCCTTTTAACTCTTTCACTTTAGCATTAATCTAAGCGTAAAGCATTTTCGAATTGTAAACTAGTGTTTGCGATATTTATTTAACTCGCGCTTCAAAAGTATTTAATACAGCTAGTTCAGCAAATCAAAGCTAGTAATAGCCTTTAACGCTTCTTACGCCGATAACGAAGAGATAAAGCGATCTTCTTAAGAATATATTATATTTTTATTCGAAAGTGCGATCTTTTAAAAATCTTTAAAGCAAAATACAATCATTATATTATCTATTAAAGCGGAGCTTCTTAACATAGCTTTTATAATGAAAAAGATTATAGCGCTTTAACGGTTTTTTAAAGAGCTGCACTTTCGTTTTGCAGCGCTTTAAATAGTCTATTATAATAATTAACAAACAATAAAGCTTATAGCTAATAAGAAAGAGCGTATCTTTACTAAGCTTCGCTACGTCGATATTCATAATATATAGTTGCGCTAAGAGCACTTTAAAAAGAGCTTTTAAGTTTAATATTTCTTTATTAAAGAGATGCACGCTAACGGTCTTATTAAGAACTTGACTCGATAGAAGTTTAAGAGCTTTATTAAGCTCTTGAATTTATAAGACGCTCGCGCGTCAGTCGAGAATCTTTAATAGCACGTATATACTATTCACTTATTACATTTTTTTTTTTTTTTTTCATTTATACGTAATTTAAAAGAAAACATCTATTTAGCAATCATAGCCGTTATTTTATCTTATCTTACACGCCTTTACCTTTCGTTTTCTTATAACAAAAGATCGATTAGAGCTCTTAGCAATCTCTTTACTTTAGCTCGGCGCTCCGCAAGAGTTATAGCAACGGCGAGCGCTGCCGTAAGAGCAGCAAGCGCAACGATTAGCGCAAAAGGAGCGACGATAATAAGTGCAACGAAAGCGACGGGAGCAATAAAAGCGGCAAGCGCAAGAGCTGCTATAACAGCAAATTAAAGCTTTTGCATAAAGTCCGAAAAGAAGTTCTGATTAAAAAGAGCTGCTTAAATTAAATTATTTCGAAAGTTAAAGAGCTTGACTTACGAAAAGGTAATATGCTCGAAGCGCTTTGCGTTACCGGACTACGGTTTGCTACTATAAGACTATTCAATTTAATAAAGGCTATATTTAAATTAAAGGTTTTAAGAACAAAAACAAAACTTATAAGGCTATCGAAATTACTTTTAAAACTTCTACTTCTATTCGCTAGACCGCCCGGACTACTAGCAGCACTTCTTAAAAGGGCAGCATCTAAAGCGAGCTATTGTCGCATAGCATTTCGAAGACTCCGGCGAACTTTTTATATAGCATTATTATTTTTAGCGCTTACGAAGTTATCGAAAGCGATGTTAGCAGCGGCAAAAGCAGCGATGCAGTTGCTATAGCTACTTTTAGCATACTAGAGATAACGTATAACGCTCGTATCGCAATTATAATAGTCTTTATTAAACTCCGATATGATCTTACTATTAATGCACTTGATACACTTTAAGACTTTGACGGTCGTTAGCATAAGCAAGCGCTTAATAAAAAGGTCTAAAGGAAAGGGCGAAGCTTCGAAAGTAAGAGTGCGTAGTATGGCCGCCGCAGCCGCTGCAATTGCAATAGCAGTAATAGCTAAAGTAAAAAGAAGATTCTTTTAATAGTTAGTATAGATATATTAATTTATTAAGAGCACTTACTTTTAAACGGCCTTAGCCGCGCTTAACGATTCTATTAGACTGAGTTACTTGCTTAAAAAGCATTGTGTAAATAAATAGAAGTTAAGTGTTTGTTATAATAAAAAAGAACGCGCTTTTACTTATATAGCAACGCAATAAAGACGGCGCTAAAGACCTCCGCTACGTAATAAGACCGACTTAAGAAGAAATTGCATTTTTAACTGACACTCAATCAACAATAATAACCGCTATTTGTTTGTTTAAACTATGATAACAATCTCTTTTATTTACATCGAGTTTAAAAAGCTTAATCACTTAATTTTTTTTTTTCTTTTTTGTTTGCTTGCAGCTCAATAGCTACGCTGCTGACTTAAGGGGTGTATTATGCGGAACAAGCATAGTTCTACTTAAGCTATATGTGATATGTCATATGACCTCGCTTAGTAGCGCCCTTAGCATACTAGAGCTCTTAAGTACATGTACATAGATCTTGACGAGCTTCTTAGATAGAATATATTAAGCTTTATTTAATCTACAGAATCTCTTCTTGATCTTAATGCTAGTAAGCATTACAAATATACCAAGCTTTATTTAATCTATAGAATCTTTTCTTGATTTTAATGCTAGTAAATATTATAATTAAAAGCTATATTCGTACTTACGAATTATTCAGTTAGTTTTTAATAACTTTCGAATTAATTAAAAGCGGATTCTGCAAATCACTTTAACGCTACTTTGCTATAACTTTCATTTTTGCAATCTGTCCTTTTTCAATTATATTTATTCTTTACAATTAATACTTATTATCCTTAAGAACTCTAATTAATTTTCAAAAGCTTTAATTATAAAATCAATTGCTATAATAATAGACGACAAAGTAAAAGAGGTTCTTTTAATCAATAAAACGAACTTTATAAGTCGTAGCGACTTTTTAAAATAAATTACGAATTACAAATACTTTATTAAGCGCTTTAATATAAAACAATACGCATCTTTTCGTATTAGCGTAAAAGAACTTGCTCTTTTTATCGAGCAAATCAGATTAAAAACGAAGTCTATTATAAAGATGATAACGGAGCTTAACAACGAATAGTTTTAAAAATAAGACCGCTAACGAAAAGCTTAAGAAGAACTGCACTTAAGAGCTTTTATAAACGATCTTAATAGACTTTTAAAGCTAAAAGACGTTAAGTTTAAAGACGTTCGAAAAGCGTATAACAATAATATAAAAGAATATAATTTCGCTATAAACAATTAAAAGGTCTTAAGTAACAAAAGCAATCAAATCATAAACTAGATTAAAGAGACGGTTAAGAGCTTTATTCTCGAGGAAGCGATCTTAACGGCTTTAAAAAAAGATAACACTTTTATTTAATTCTTAATAAAAAAGCTTTAAAAAATATGTTATTTATCCGACTCGAGCTTTAAGTTATCGATAGCACGAAACTATAATAAATCTTTGCAAGCAGCTAAGCAAAAGAGCGTCTCTTTAGCGGTATAGATTAAAGAACATTAAGTTATTTATAAGTTAGCGAAGATAAACAACTTTTACGAGACGACGAGTATATTCGCGATAAAAGCATTTTTAAAAGCTATTAACGAAAAATAATTATTAATTTAAGCGTCGCTAGAACTCGCAAAGGTCATTCGAAACAACGAGTTATCATTGCTTTAAAAGCGTACCTTTTACGACTACTTTAATTAGTACGAAAGCTAAATCGAAAAGAAAACTAGCAATCCGAACTTTAATTTCTTTAGCGTATTCGCTATTTTCGGAAATCAAACTATTCGTAATACTTTCGAAAGTAATAAGGCTAACGATATTACTTTTAAGCAGTCCGGTAAACGCTCCGATAGCTTTAAAGGACTTGCTAAAAGTTTTAAGTGCTCGTGCTTTAAAAAAAAAAACTATTATTAAAACGCAATCAAGTATAAGATCTTTCGTTATTGCTTTAATAATTTTAACGAAAGTAAATTCGTAAAGCCGAACCGAGATGATATCGTCGCTATAAAAAAGAAGCTTTAAAAGCTTAAGTTTAAAGCGCTTTAAAAAAAGATTACGAAAGAAAGTTAAGCATAGATTTAAGTCGATAAGATCGTTTTAAAAAGCAAAGAAAAGCAATCGAATAATAGCGATAAGTTAAAATACTTTAAAAAAGTATTAACAGCTATTATCGATCTTAAGCTCTTTAGCATGCTCGATAATCTTATCTTTAACGGTCTTTATAGCACGGCTAACAATAAGCACTAGCTATTTAATAGCATTCTTTTTAATAATTGCGACGCTATTCACTTTATTAACGATAAGAATCTTTTAAAGCTAAGATCAATTCAACGCTTTCGCTTAATCGACTTTATCGAAGCTAGAACGAGTAGTCTTTTAATCGTCGAGCGAAGTATTAAAATCTTTAAAAAAGCTTTGAACGGATTAAATAAAGCTAAGACGAAGGATTTGAAGTTAAAAAACGTCGCTATTATTAAAAAGTTTAATATCAATATCATTTCGAAAGCTCTTTTAAACAAAGCTAGCGTATAATACTCGAGATATAACGCAACTCTCCGCTATAAAAAAGTTAAAAAGAGCGTCGTGTTAAGAAAGTTAAAAAAGAAGTTTAACTTTACGTTTTTTAAATATAAGCTATTTAATTATTCTTTGCTTTAATTAATTCGTAGCTTCTTTTGCTTAATAATGTTTTTCATAATTTAAAAGCGTTTGCAAACACGTTATAAATTTTAAAAGAGCAATGTCTTTCGAGCTTTAAAAGAAGATTCATCGGTACTTTAACATTTATAAACAAGTCATTTAAGTAAAAAAGCTTTCGAAGCGCTAGCTTATAATGCTAAAAGAATAAGACTTAAAAGAATTATTAAAGTTAAATATAAAGCATATGCTATTACGCACGCTTAATAAGTTATATTTCGCCGCACGTTAAATAATAAAGCAGTTAAGCTATTCTATAAGATCGCTTAAGATCTATTCGACTTTCTTAACGGTTTTGACGAGAGCAAATAATTATTAATAATTAAAAATAAATATAATAAAAAGCTATTCGGCTTTATATTAAAAAACAAGTTGCAATTAACGGTTATAAAAGTGCTAAAGGAATTTAAAGCATAAACGAAACGCAAATACGATCTTTTAATAGCTATTATACGTTATAATAACGATTCTTCGATAATCGCAATCAACGTTATCGGCTTTATCGAATACTAAAGATAAGCGAAAAAGGTCGAGATCGAGTTAAAGCTTTTATTATCTTTTAATTACGAACTTAATAAAAGAGCTAAGAAAGCTAAAAGAAAAGTAATAAAACGGTCTATTAAAATAAAAGTAAAAGCAAAGCTTTTAAAAAAGTTTTAGCTTGAGATTATATTAGCCGTTATCTACCTTTATAATATAACACCGAAAGCGAAAAGCTTTATAAAGAGTCCGAATAAAGTGCTACAACTTTAGTTTAAGCAATATTTTAAATGATACGATCCGGCGATTTTTATACGGATCGACATCGACTTAAGACTAGATTATAACGATTTAATTACGTATAACGCTTATGCGTACTTAATAATCAAAGACCGAAAAGCTCTTCGTAATAAAAAAGCTTTTAAAATTAAACCGAAAAGACATATAAACTACTTAATTAAATATATAGCTTTTAATATATATAAAGTCTATGTTCTTATGCTTTATAAAGTAATTATTATACGCAACGTAACGTTCGATAAGACTTAATTTTATTTTAAAAACAAGAAAAAATCGGTCGGCCAATCGATTAGCGAGATCAAAAGCATTATTATTAAACTAAAAAATATTAAAAACTTTAATCAAACAAAAGACGCTTTGTTTAATATAAAGAACGTTAAAGAAGATCGTTTAAAAGAGACGAATGCAATTGATATAAAAGGTAAGCAGCCGTCAAACCTTATAAAAGTTGACTTAAAAGGATTTAATTAAAGCTTAAAAGATGCGACTTTATTTAATCCGAGCGATGTATAAACGTTAAAAGCTTTAACTTTAATTAAAAACTTTATAAATACGTTTATATAAAAAGCAATTGCTTTACGAAACGATTTAATAGACTTTAACGATTCGAATTACACCGTTAACCGTTTCGCTAACTCTTTAGCTAAAAGCAAAAGCGAAAGTGCTTTAAGATTGCTAGAAGCAAAAAGGAGTACCGTAAACGAGCAAAAACTTAGCCTTAATAAAAGAGCGCGCAAATTATACTTTTAAGTTATTATTTAAAGCCGAGGCTCGGAAAGTTAAGCTATAAGCCGATTAACAAAAGCTTTTATATTAATAATTAGCGGAGATTTAAACCGAACAATTAAAGAAGAGCTTTTAAACCTTTTTAAAGCGAGCATTAATAATAAGAAATTAAATTATAAACACTTTAAATAAAATTCCGACTTTAATAAAAAGCACTCATTTATTAATAGCTGCATTAAAAAACGCGCGAAGATATACGCAAGTGTTAATAAACTTCTTTTAAACAACTCTCGCGCCGATTCGAACTGCTATTCGCGCGTCTTAGATTTTGTATCGACTTTCTAAGCTAATAGCGATCTCGTGCGCGAAGATAATAAAGATTACGAAATATTATACGTTATTATAACAGCTGCTACCTCGTTTAAGCTGTTATTAAAACAGCTTAATCTGCAAGAACGAAAACATTTAAAACCTTTTACTTATTAAAAAGAGCTATAACGACACTTATACGGCAAAGAGTTTAAAAACGAAGCTCTTATAAAGCTGAATAATCTAAAGAAAAGGAATTGCTAAAGAATGATTCTCGAGAGCGAAGCTAAGTTAAAACTTATACTTTTTAAATAAGTATTTATATATAAGACTAGCTCGTTCGAAGAGATCGTAAAGTTTAGATCGAAGATTATAGTTAAAAGCGACTTTTAAAACGAATCTATTATCTATTCAATTTACGCTATTACGTTAGCAGCTAGATCGTTTAAGATAATGATAGTTATAATAGCCGAATTTAATTTAAAAGTAAAATAATTCGACGTCGTTAACGCTTTTATTAACGCTATAAGACACACGGATAGCGTTTTAATTACGTATTATCTTTTTAACGGTTTTAAATAAAAAAGTATGCTCGTAAAAGTCGATAAAGCTTTATATAGACTTAAAGACTCGCTAGCTTTATAGTATTTCGACTTTATAAGCACACTCGATAAATTAAAGCTTACGCTACTCGATAAGGAATCGTATATTTTTACGAATTTAAATAAAATAGTCTTTATAACGTTTTACGTAAACGATATTTAAGTTATATATTATTATTTTAATCTTTTTAAAGCGCAAGAGATCATTAACGGTCTTAATAAAGCGTACGAGATCGAAGCGATAAAAGATATTAAATAGTTTTTTAATATAAAAGTCGCTCGAGATTATTAGCGAAAAACGCTAACGCTTATGCACGACGCTTATATTAAAAAAATAACTAAAAAATTCGAACTTACGGACGGACGCTGCTTAGCAACTTTATTACCGTTTTATAACTTAATTAAAAATAAAAAGATAGCTTCGCAAAAGCAAGTGAAAGAGTATTAAAAGAAAGTTAAATCCGTATTATATACAGCGATTATGCTACGCTTAAATATAGCTTTTGCAGCTTTTTAACTTTCTTATTTTAACATTAATTTAAGCGCGAAGCACTTTCGAGTTATAAACTAATGTTTGCGATATATATTTAGCTCGCGCTTTAAAAGTATTTAATACAACTAGTTTAGCAAGTCGGAGCTAGTAATAGCTTTTAACGCTTTTTACGCCGATGACGAAAAGATAAAGCGATCTTTTTAAAAGTATATTATGTTTTTATTCGAAGGTGCAATTCTTTAGAAAGCTTTAAAGCAAGATATAGTTATTATATTATCTATTAAAGCGGAGCTTCTTAACATAGCTTTTATAATAAAGAAGATTATAGCGTTCTAACGATTTTTTAAAAAGCTGTACTTTCGATTTGCGGCGCTTTAAATAGTCTATTATAATAATCAATAAATAATCAAGCTTATAGCTAGTAAGAAAGAGCGTATTTCTATTAAGCTTCGCTACGTCGATATTTATAATATATAGCTGCGCTAAGAGCACTTTAAAAAGAGCTTTCAAGTTTAATATCTCTTTATTAAAAAGATGCACGCTAATAGTCTTATTAAGAATCTAATTCGATAAAAGTTTAAGAGCTTTATTAAGCTTTTAAATTTATAAGACGCTCGCGCGTTAATCGAGAAGCTTTAATAGCACGTATATATTATTCACTTATTATATTTTATTTTTTTTTTCATTTGCACGTGATTTAAAAGAAAACATTTATTTAGCAATCTTAACCGTTATTTTATCTTATCTTATACGCTTTTACTTTTCGCTTTTTATAATAAAAAATCTATTAAAGCTCTTAGCAATCTCTTCATTTTAGCTCGGCGCTTTGTAAGAGTTATAATAACGGCGGGCGCCGCTGCGAAAGCGGCAAGCGCAACGATTAGCGTAAAAGGAGCGACGACAATAAATGCGACGGGAGCGACGAGAGCTGCGAGAGCGACGAGAGCAGCGAAAGCGACGAAAGCAATAAGAACGGCAAGCGCAAAAGCTGTTACAATAGTAGATTAAAGCCTTTGCATAAAGTCCGAAAAGAAGTTTTAGTTAAAAAGAACTGCTTAAATTAAATTATTTCGAAAGTTAAAAAGCTTGACTTACGAAAAAGTGATATGCTCGAAGCGCTTCGAGTCACCGGATTACGGTTCGCTGCTACAAGACTATTCAATTTAATAAAGGCTATATTCAAATTAAAAGTCTTAAAAGCAAAAGCAAAACCTGCAAGGCCACCGGGACTACTTTTAAAACCTTTACTTTTATTCGTTAAACCGCTCGGACTATTAGCAGCACCTCTTAAAAGAGCAGCATCTAAAGCGAGCTGTTATCGCATAACATCTCGGAGACTTCAGCGAACTTTTTATATAGCATTATTATCTTTAGCGCTTACGAAGTTATCGAAAGCGGTATTAATAATAGCAAAAGCAGCGGTGCAGTTGTTATAATTACCTTTAGCATACCGAAGATAACGAATAACGCTCGTATCGCAATTGTAGCAGTCTTTATTAGACTTCGATGTGATCTTATTATTAATGCATTTGATGCACTTTAAAGCTTTGACGGTCGTTAATATAAGCAAGCGCTTAATAAGAAAGTTTAAAAAAAAAAGCGAAGCTTCGAAAGTGAAAGTGCGTAATATAACCGCCGCAGCCGCCGCAATTGCAATAGCAGCAATAGCTAAAGCAAAGAAAGGATTCTTTTAATAGTTAGCATAAATATATTAATCTATTAAGAGCACTTACTTTTAAACGGCTTCGGCCGCGCTTAACGATTCTATTAGATTAAGTTATTTGCTTAAAAAGCATTATGTAAATAGATAAAGGTTAAGTGTTTGTTATAATAAAAAAGAACGCGCTCTTACTTATATAACAACGCGATAAAGACGGCGCTAAAGACTTTCGCTACGTAATAAGACCGACTTAAGAAGGAATTGCATTCTTGATTAACACTTAATTAATAATAATAACTGCTATTTATTTGTTTAAATTGCGATAATAATCTCTTTTATTTATATCGAGTTTAAAAAGCTTAGTTACTTATTTTTTTTTTTTGTTTGCTTGCAGCTTAATAGCTACGCTGCTAACTTGAAAGGTGTGTTGTGCGGAACAAGCATAGTTCTACTTAAGCTATATATAACATGTTATGTAACCTCGCTTAATAGCGCCTTTAGCACATTAGAGCTCTTAAGTACATGTACATAGATCTTGACGAGCTTCTTAGATAAAATATATTAAGCTTTATTCAATCTACAGAATCTCTTCCTGATCTTAGTGCTAGTGAGCACTACAAAACTATAAAAATAAAGTGCAACGAGGTACGATATTATATAATATACGCTTTTATTTAAATATAAATTCTAACTTAAATATTAGCGATAGCAAATTTATGCGATCAAAACGATTCGAATAATATTTCTCGACAAAATTATTTTAACGCAAAAGAAATATCAAGCTTTAAGCAAAGTAATAAAAAGATAATAAGTAGAAAGGAAGCTGATAGAATACCGGACTCGGCTTCGCTATCTTATAAAACCTTAAATGCCGCTTAAACTCCGAAACTTAGTATTTCGAAACTTAAAACTCTTTTAATCGTTATTCAAAGTCAAAGTAAATCAATTATTATATATAAGTTTAACGACCTTAAATCTAATACTTTTATAAGCGAACGAATTACAAATCTATTATCAACTTTAAAGCGCAAACGAATAAAAGAAAAAGAAAATGATGAAGCGGGATTAGTATAAGATAAAAAGAAAAAAGCTTTTTCTAGAATCAAGCGTTTAATTGCAAAGAGTATCGCTCTTGCTAAGTTTTATAATCAGCGACTTTGATTTTATTTGCTAAATTGCTTTTTTTGTATCATTAAGTTTTTGTATTTACTTGTTTACAATTGATTATAATAATTAATTAAATTCTTTTTTATCGATATCTTTAGTTTTTTTATTATTATTAATATATCTATATCGACCTTAGCTAACTAGCTAAGAACACCGGTAGTAGTAGTTAAAAGAAGAGTTCACCCGTGAACCATAGTTCACGAGTCAGTTAGCATGCTTCGCTTAAAATGTTATATTAATCAAAGGACCTTTAACTTGATTATAAAACCTTTTAGTTAGCTAATGCACGTAATTCCTTTAATCATAAGTATTACTTTTACTAAACTTTAAAAGAGCTGATTCTTTTTATAACTATTAAGTTTTTTAGTAAAGTTAAGTTATTCGTAAAGCTATATAGCCCGTGAACTATAGTTTACGAGTAAGTTACGTGTAACAGCTTTAAGTACGTTAAGTGTAGCAGCCTTACGTAAGTTACGTATGGCAGCCTTACGTAAGTTACGTGTGGCAGCCTTAAG